ATGTTTACTTGGACTCAACGTACTCACTTTTTTTTTTTTTTTTTTTTTTTTTTTTTTTTTTGCTGTTCTTATGCTGGAAGGCTTATTGGAGTCATGTCCCTTTAAGGCCACACCCTCTTGGACAGCACACAGCTACCAGGAAATGGCGAGCTCATGTTGCGTTCCAGTTGTGCACGGAACTGGGAAATCTCGTCTTCCCAGTCGGATAAATGATCTGCAACGCCCTATGACGCTGGAGCAACTCCAACGAACCCCATTTTGGACTTGTAAGGCGGACTTCGCGCTTCATAATGGCCGCTCCTCGCATTAACGATAGCGAGAAGTGGTGAAAAAAAAAAAAGCTTTACAAGACACGTCCAAAATCAGTGGTACATGTTGCACCTGGAACCCTAATGTGAAAAAAACGTAAAGTGGTGTTGGCTTATGAAATGTAAAGTTAAAAAAAAATATGTATGGTTGCCAGAACTATTGTAAACGACGTTTATGGGCGTCGCCATGTTGAAATTCCGAGTTTTTAACTTGAACGCTGTTACCTTGGGTCTAACGTCAAACCCAGCCTCCAGGTTCAACTTCTCAGGTAACTCAGCATGATTTTACTTTTTGAGAACCCCTGAGAAGAGTATGTAAATTTCATACAAGCAGCAAAACTGGGTGTCAAACTGATAACAGCTGCTGCCTGTATGTATGTTTAAGAGAGAGAAAAAAAAGGTGAACAAATGCATTAGATTTGCATGCTCTTGAGCCAAACACTCCTGGTTGAATACTTTTTTTTTCACAAGACGGGAAGCAGGAGTGTGCTAACCATAATTCAACAGGACTTGGAGGAATACTTCAGGCCTCTTGGAGCCACTGAATCACTTTCATTTGCTTCATGTGAGCCATCTTTATGTGATGTATTGGGCTTGTTTCCAATAGTATGCGATTTGTCAGCTCTAATTAATCTTTCACCCAGAGGGTTCTCTGCAGCTCGCAGCCTAATATGTCTGCTCTCCTTGGTGGAACGGAGACGGCTGATTTCCTACAGCTCCCTGGGTATGGTGTGGTTGGCCAGGAGCGTGCTGCGAGGCCCTGACAGCAAGACAGTGCTGGACCAAAGCTGCAGGAAGCTGGTAAGATTTGCTAATGATTGTTGCCTTGGCTGCCACGCAGGGAATTCTCCTGAGCAGCATAGCATTTAATACACCATTGCTCTAGGAGTACTTGCCGGCTGTTTGTTCAGTCCCAAGCCAGAACGACTGAGACTGACACTGTGGTGCTGTGTTTGGGTATTTAATGTAGGCTGTAAGAGGTAACTCAGGATACTTGGACCGAAAGGGTTTACTTTAAAAATTAAACAAGAAAACATAAGGCACATAAGTCTGTATTTTATTTTGACTTTCCACGATGAACTAAAACAGTTGCAGGGAAATGATGCACGGTTTTCAGAAAATAAAAACCTGAGAAGTATGGCCATTATGTTCCATGGCCATCTTCAGCTGCAGTTAAAGGTTTTTTTTGGATGGAGACTGTCTTCGAACGTGAGTTTTCAAGTCTTGCATCAGTTCCTCAATTGAGGACCTCAATTGACTTGAGGTTTGCACTTTGACTAGGCCATTCTACAGTATGAATAAGCTTTAATATAAACCATTGCCTTTTAGCTCTGGCTGTATGTTTAGGGTTGTCTTACTGGAAGGTGAACCTAAGTGTCTCAAACCGTTTGCAGACTTTAACTGGTTTTCTTCCAGTATTGTATTTGATTCTATCCACCTTCCCATCAACTTTGGCCAGCTTCCCTGTTGCTGCTGAAGAAAATTATTCCAGCAGCATGAGCCTGCCACTACCATTTTTTTCAGGGCGATATGCAGTGGATGTTTTCCAACAAGCCTGGTGTTTGATGGAAATCAGCCTCTTACCGATCTCCCAAAATTAATGAAATAGGTTCTGATAATGGCCGATAAATGATACCCTTTCGACAAATTATTTTCCTGTGGATAGCTTCAGCTCCTCCGTAGTTGCTTCAGTAACTGAAACTCCCTTTGATGGCTTTAGGTGGATGACTGTGGGTTTGCCTGTTTGCCTTGCTTTCTGTCTTCAGATGATTGGCTCAACAATTGAAATGCTCAAAGCTTAGTATATAGTTTACAGTTGAATAGCTTGGCCTTCTTTAAGCATCTACACAGTAGATCTATACCTAATTTTTGTGAAATGACAATCCCTAAGAAATCAGTGAGGAAGTTTATAGAATGGCTGGATTCTGAGGTTAAATAACACACATGTTGACTCTCTTCCTGAGTTAGGTGACCTCAGAGGCTAGTTGGGATTTTTTTTAGGGGTATTACAGCGTATAGGGTGCCAAAAACAAATGCCCCCTATGCTTTTCAGTTTTTATTTGTTGGTGTTGGTCCATCACATAAGATCCCCCCAAAATGCATCTGTGCGTTCAATGAGACATTTTTTTGTGTCTTGATCAGCAGTTTTTTGGTGGGCTTCCAGAAAATCTCTTGAAATTTCTATTTTGACTTGGTCTGCCTTTTCATGTTTTTTTTTTAATCCAAACTTCCCTTATATTTTTAAAAAATATGTAATGACCCAACAAAGTCCTGCCACATATGAGAAAAAATGTTCTTTATGTAGTGTGTTTGTAAAGTTTTCAACTGACAGCTGTTTTAAGAATCAACTTGTTTATGCCAAAATGCACTTCCTGTCCTTCAAACTTGGTTATTCTTGTTGTTTTCCACTCATTAAGTTCAGTAAATCGACAAGCTGCAGGTAGGAAAATGTTTAACGTTTCAAATAAGCTGGTTGTTTGCAACCGCAGCATCAACAAGTGTGACAACATGAAGAAATGAGAGAATATTTTTGCACAGTGCTGAATATTCACAAAGTACCATAAAAAGAGACAATAGGCTTAGGTCCTTCTTTCATCTTAAGAGGTCTAAATGTTAATGATCTGATATTTGTGAGGGACAATAACTTCAAGGAGATTCAGGAACGAGACTGGACATAAACGTCTTGATTCTGATTGCTTTTGTCTTTACCTCTCTTTAATGTTGGCAGTAAGAAAAAAAAAGATATTTTTTTTTAAAGCAGACATCTGAAAAGGATTTCCAGGTTTTACATCATGATCACATGCTAATACCAACTACTGTGAGCCAGAAAGCTGGACCTACATCATACTATGAAGAGTGATGCTCAGAGCAACAAAATTGCTCTGAAACGCACTGGTGGAGCACTATTTTCGCAGCCTTATGTGAAACAAAGAGAAGTTTTGTTTGGTTGTGCTAGATGAATGTGAGGTGTAGCAGAGATTGGATATTTATCTTTTCTGGTAACACCTTCTTGGAATATGTGCATTTTTAAACAATCTTTGTTTTTCCCCTTTTTCAGTCCGTACCTGTCAGCAAAGCTGCCAAGACGAGCACAAGCTCCGAGAAGATCTGCAGGCAAATTCTCCTTTCAACACTTTCAGACACTGTATCACAACTTCTCTGCTTTCTTTATGGAATACTACAATCCACGCTAACTCTAATATGGTATGATTTGCCATTTTCCTCCCTAGAACAGGGCCTCAAGTTTAGCAGTTATAGCATAGCATTCAAAGATGGCACGTATCTTAGCTGCAATTGGAATAGTTTTTCTACAAAATTCTTGATTAAAAATGGAATTTGCATGTCTGCATTTTTCAAATTTAATTAAAAATGGCTCAAGACAAACAATTTTGCGCTTAAGTTTTTGTGTCTTTTGTGTTTTTGAATTACTTGTTTAATCAAGTATACAGTCTTGCAAAAAGCACTGAATCAGGAGCACGAAATTACTTATAAATGAGAATTGATTTATGGTTGCTGTGCTTCTTGCTGTTTTTACATTGGCTGTGATTTGGTCAGTCTGGATTTGGGCTTGCTGCCATTGGTTAATTTTGGCATTAGGTCAAGGAATAAATATAATGCCTTGCAAAAGTATTAATACACCTTGAACTCTTTCCCATTTAGTCACTGCACAGCCACCCTCTTCAAGGTAATTTATTGGAATTTAATAATCTGTGAAAGCCTCAGATTTGTTAGAGAGCATTGGTGAAAAACAGCATCATTAAGCCACTGCAGACAGGCCTACAGGAAGTTGAGACATTTAAAACAGTGAGAGTATAAACATTTCAAGCTTTGAAAGTCTCAGAGAACACTGTTCTGTTCACAGTCTAACAATGGAAAAAATGTGGCAGAACTTCAAACCAATCGAGGTCATTGATCTAAACTGATGAGCAGGGCAAGGATAGCATTGATAATAGCAGCCAAGAGCTATACAGTAACTTTGGAGGAGCTGCAGAGAGCAACACCAAAGATGAGAGAATCTGTATACAGGACAGCTGTTAGTTATGTTCTCCACAAAATCTGGCCTTTACAAAAGTGGCAAAAAAACAAAAACAAAGCATTACTCCCAGCACACCATGAAATGTTTTAGATGTTAGAATGGTGGTTCTAACATCTAACCAGTTCTTCTCCAGTCCATAATGAGAACTGAAAATGGATGTTGTCTAATTGATTCTCAGTCATCTGAATTTCTTGAAGTGTTTTGAGAAACAGAATGGGTGAAGGTTTCAGTTTCTAGATGCCACACTATTTGAGATATACCCCTAAAGGATTCCCCTATTGATTCATGATGTTAAATATAACAAACATTTCTGTTTTTATTATTTGGAAACCATGTACTCTTTTTATTCTATTCTCCGTGTACATGCATAGATTTGTTGTGAGTACTACAGGGTCCCCCTAGTTGGGTCTGGACTTGACTGCGGCCATTTCAAAATATGATCTAAACATTTCATGGTTATGTTTAGTCCCCCAGCTGGAAGGTGAAACCTCCGGCACCTTTTCTCAAGTTTTTAGCAACGTCCAAGAGGTTTAAATCCTGAATTGTTACGACCATGTCCACCTTTCCATCGACTCTTACCAGCTTAAGAAAAGCATACCCACAGCATGATGCTGGTACCTGCTCATTTCACTGTGTCGATGGTGTATTTAGGATGATATTTAGTATTAAGTTCCCCCCACCCGTAACAATCTACATGTGGGCCAAAAAGTTGAACTTTGACCTCACCTGATCATAGCATCTTCTTGTGTTTGGACCTGTGGCAAATTTGAATGCAACTTGTCATCATTTTCATTTAACGGCTTCTTGCCTTTCTTCTGTGTTCCTTGGACATAATGATGCTGTTTTTCAGTAATATTCTCTAAACAAAAGTACTGGGTTATCAAAGAACACCTGACTTTATTTTATAATAAGCTAAATTTCGCACAGGTGGACTCATAATTCATTGACTTAGCACTGCGTGTGGATTGCAGAGGTTTTTATCTTGGTGTGTCAGTTGTATGAACATATTGGCATGACATTTGTTTTGTCATTTGTTTGAGTTTTAGGATGCCTTGGAATTAATAAATTGGCAAAGCTAATTTCTATGTGAGGAGTTTTGTAGGTTCCCGCCCAGAAATACTTTTTTTTTTGTTCTCCCTGTCTAACTGTTGCTCCGCTCAGGCTGTACAAAGGGCCTCGCAAGTGATTTAAACTGGAGCTTTTAGCAGTCTGTTCGTAACGTAAAACGCCTATTCATGTTTCTGATGCGAGTGCTGGACCCTGAACTGCACTGTACTCGGTTCTGACTGAAGAGCCCTGCAGGCGGTCTATGTGCGAGCGCGGCGCTGTCTGTGGTGCTGAAATCAGCAGCTTTCGATTAGCGGATAGACCGGTTTGCGGCAGAATCACACGCTGATGCCTGCTGTTATTTACTCTGATGATGCGTTATGTGAATGAACCAGATAAAGACGGACAGAGAGAGGCGGGCAAAGGGCGATGGAGATAGTTTTTCTTTTCTATTTTATTTTAAATATTTTAATCCAAGGATACAAATAACAGCCAACACGTTGAAAGTAGCGCACCCTAAATGACAACCGGGTCATTTCAATGCAGAATGTGGGTTGAAAGTGAAACGAATGACGCCAGTCCGTCCTTCAGTGAAACGGTGTTTGACTTCAAATGCCATATAAAGGGAGAAGAAAGAAAAGAGGATGAGGAATAAACGCGCTGTCTCTTTGAGTGACTGTCTCGGGGACGAATTGCAGCTTGTGATCCAGGACAGACGCGCGGCGCGAAGAGCCAATGGCGATTAAGAGCCGCCGCACGCAACGAGCAGTGGACGCGGAGCCACTCCGGGTATACCTCCGCGTCCGACGCATGCTCGTGAGTAGGTTGAATGGGACGAAACGGCGAGTGCGGAGAGTTATATAGGCGCGCTGTGATGCGGTCCGCATATATTCCCCGGCAGGACTAGCTTCTTTTAAAGACAGCCTCCTCTTCCGCGTCGCTTCCCACTCCAGTGATGTGGCGTATTTGTGTGGCGCACCTGTAAAGAGCGAGACACGGGGCAGAAAGCCGGGCTCTTTTTTTGTTTCATTATTTGATTCCTTTTTCTTTCTTCTGTTGGCTTTGTGTTTTTTTTTAATCTTCCCCCCTCTCCCTTCCTCCTTCTCCCTTTTACCTTTTTGTTTCGTGCATTTGCTGAAACGATATCATTCCTGTTTTTTGTTTTTGCTTTTTAATTTAATAAAACATTTTATTTTTCTCATTTTATCTCGTTTGTGTTGGCTTTTTTTTGGGGGGGTTATGTTTCCAAGTTTGAACTAAAAAAAAAGAGAGAGAAAAAAAAGAGAGCGCGGAATCCACATCATTTGACCAGGTGTTTCATTCAGAGATTGTTTGCCCCAAGGACGCCCCTAACTTTCGTTTATAGAAACGGTAAGATCTTTTTCTGCACATTTGCTCATTCGCTTCAAGCATTTTGAAATCAAGACATTGGAATAGTCTGTTTCGGTTGGTCCTTTTTGGTGTGCAGAGCAGATCATCTTATTGCATGCAGACGTGACGGGGATGTGTGTGTGTGGGGGGTGGGGGGAGTCACTGTGGTGCATTCATGTGACGGCTGATTTTCAACTATGAACTGGAGAGCTTTCGGGTAATCAACGAGGGATTCATGGTAACGCTTTTTTTCTATCGTGTGCAGTGCTGAAACATGGGGAAGAGTGATTTTTGGAAAACGGTCTCTACAACAGGCTAATTTAAAACATAATTTATCTTCTAGAGGCCTTCACTAGGTGCAAAACAAGCCTCTGGAAATCAACTCTTTGTATGTATGCTTTATTTTCAAACACTAACTTATTAAAAAATGAATATATCCTGTGTAACTCTTGACATGAACAAAGCTATGTAGGTTACACTCTGCAGCCTGCATGTTGTGCCACTTAGAGTTGCTGGATGAAGTTCTTGCTTTCATAGGCACATTGTGTATACTCTTTCTGAATTTCCGTGCAGGTGTGACTGCACAAGTCAAGTCTATTTGTGGAAGGGGGGGGAAGTCACTGGAGAGAGGCTACTTTCAAGAATGTATTCCCAATGTAATATATTAGGAATATCTGGTTTGCTTAGAGTTAATGCTTGCAGTTGTACATTTGTAAAGCCAGTGGATCAAGGTAATTCATAGTAATACACAGTAGGTGACTAAAAAATATTATTAGTGGGTGTTCCGCTGTTGGTCATAAAACTTGAAGTAAACTTAAAGCAAAATGCCCAAAAAAAAAAAAAACACCTAGTGATGTGCTTCTGCAAACCAACCCATTTCTTTTTTTAATGTGTCAAATGTTTACACATGATCATATTAGTCTATTTTATTTTCAATGATGTATCAATTTTTAAAAACAAATTTTACATTTTAGTCAAGGTTTAATAGCAGTCTTTGCTCTAAAACTACAAAAACAAGACCATTAATACAGTAATGTGTAAAATGGCACCAAAAACGAAAAAATAAATAATGAAAGCATGATTTAAAATGTGTTGAGTGAAATAAAAAGCCTAGCAAGCACGGACAAGTAGCTGGAACGATTCTTTTCATTATTCGTAAGTGCCATGATAGTAGGCTACTACTTACAGGATCATGCAGATGTGTAAGTTCACAACAAATATCTAACAGACACTCGATCCTCTGACAGATTTTCCATGGCACCACTGTGCAACTTCTGCTCCTACTAGGTAGTTTTTGCCCGATGTCCACAGATGGGCAGTATAGAGCGATCTGCAATTTCAGAGTTAAAAGATCTTAACTCTGATCCTTTAGAGTTAAGCTCTAAAGGATCTTAACTTTAGATCCAAAATCCGTGAAAGTTATTTATTTTTTTATTAAAAAGAAGTTATTTATTTTATTTAAAAAATAAATAACTTATTAAAAAAAAATAACTTACACGGATTGATCTCTAGTTGTGTTTATATATTCCACACAAGCTAAAAACATGAAACAATTCAGTTGTATTTTTGTCTGTTTTTTAAACTTTTGCTATGTTGAATTGTTAGCCGACAAAGTTATCTTTTTTTTTATTCTTTTTTTTTTTTTGGTTTTTACTTTGCCAAACGAGGCGGCTTCCGAAAAAGAGACGCATTCTGTGCAGAGCCTGCAGCTGCAGCTCATCATCTAGTTATGAATAAACTCGCGATGGACCCTCTGCATGGCTGCTGATTGGCTAACGCCCTGATCAGTTTATTTAGGACGCGAGCGTTCCCGCCACCGCCCCCATATGCTTCACGAAGACTACGACCAAACATTTGTCTGCAGGGACTTCATTAAATACCCGCGGCGTCACTTCAACACCTCGAGGTAAGACACGTAGCAACAGTGGAGTTGAAATGGTCACTCTGGTGGTGCGCCTGTTCCGTCTAAAGGCTGTTTAAGTGGAAGGAGGTTTGCTAGCTAGCAGGGCAGCTAGCAGTTTGTGTCTGCCTATCGTAAGGTGTTGCTTTGGCCTTATTATACTCGATTCTCCCTAAAAATGGTGGCCAACTTAAAACTCGAGTATGACCAAACGAACCCATTTTGAATTTAAACCAGAAAACACGGGAGTTGTTGCTTTTGATGACGGTACTGCTAAAGCTCGCCATACTTTTAGAAATAACGCCGCTTATAAATATAATCCGCTCCTGGAGCTTTATGAGTAGGGTTGTTTTAATTGTGTTTTTTTAAACAAATAGAATGCTAAACATTTTTCTTTGCGCTATTGGCTCTTTTTCGAGTTAACGGTAACTACTAGCTTAGTCGCAGGAGCACAGCTGCAACGCATTAATTAAACATGGCGCCTCCATCCTCTCGGCTTTTCGGACGCCAGACTCCAAATTGTATTTAATTTTTTTCAAATACAGCTCAGAATTGGAACCCGCTCTGTGCTTAATTCAAGTACGTTTTGTGGCGATACTGCAGTCCCCAATACAATTTCACTTCCTGTTTGCTTGGTTGGTTTGCTAACATTTCAAGTTTAATCTGTGAACAAATCCTGTCGTTGCTGTTTTGTTGAGTCGCTTACAAAAATATTTATCTTAATTTTGATTCAAGCTCTAATCTCTGAAAACGCTTGTCACAAGGAACGACTTTATCTTCTCTCAAGTAAAAGCGCTTGGATACATGATTATAGAACATTTAATTGTGATATTGAGTTATTTCTAGCTTTGGACAATGACACTCCAAACGTGTAGCCTTAGCTTTTTGGCATGAAACTGTTCAAGATGGCTAAAAATCAAAATGAACAAGTACAACTTTCCAAACTGTCTTGTGCAATATTATCGACGTGCACACTGTAAAGCCCCCACCCTGTACTAACCTTGCTTTAGTCTGAGCCGAGCAGAAATGCTAATGTAGCTACTTGGAGAAACGGCTAAAGCCTTTTAAAATAGAAGTATTTTTTTTTCTCTTTAACCAAAATTTTAGCTTTCTGTCCAGTTTTGCCTTTGGTGTAAACGATTTGTCAATATACTGTTTTAAACGTCATGTGCCTGCTAATCCTAACAGCTGGATATGGCCTGAGTTAACATTTAAATATCAAGATCATGTGTAGGCCTGGCATTAAACGATAAATCAATTAATCGCACGATAAATTAAAACTATCGACCTCATTTTAATTATCGTCTATATCGTTTCTTTCTGCTTTTTTCCTCTTACTGTTGATGACACTGAATGAAAAAAGGCTCAACTCCGGTGCTCTCCACTGACCCTCCCTTCCTTATTTCTTAGTGTAATGCCCAGCGCGCTGCACGATCTTATGTCGCGGATTGTCGGCCCATTATCAAAACCTGAGAGACACATGAGCCGACAGAATTCTCTCTGTTCGAGAACAATGGACACAAAATAATAAGTCCACTTCACTAATATTGAAACCAGGCATTAATCAATTCCTTACTACAATCTACCTGCAATGCATGTGGCTAGTGTCAGTCCTGATTGAATCAAAACCTATTTATGTCACGTTAACGAAGAACAGCTGAAAAGTTACCGGGTTTTCTGGTACAAATTTCGCTCCAACTCCTCCCCTAGTTATTTATACTTTCTTTGCACGAACTGTTGAATAAACATCCATGTTGCTGGACTTCGGGTTGCACCGTGTCAGCTGTTCGGGATTTCCTCCGTGTTTCCACCCCGGAAAGCACGAGGAGAATCCGCGCTTTCTGATTGGCTACCGGTCACATTCAACAGGTTGCGTCACTCTCCCAGTCTGGGCAAATCCTTGATTTAGATAGGAGCGTCCACGACGATCTACCGTAACACACAAGTGACAATCTCAGAACGAATAACGTTCTAAGATTGTCATCCGGGGTAAAAAATCCTGTAGTTTGAACTATTGCATCAGGAAGTCGGATTCTTCACTATTTAAATCTGATTACTGAAGGGCAATATACCATACAGACTTCATAATCTGCATTCTTTTGGTGGAATGTAATATTTATTTCCACTTTGACTTTGCTTAGTTTTTATTCAAGTACATTTATTGTTAATGGAGACTGAGAATCTATTTTATTTTTGTTTTTGTTTTTATTTATTTTGTGTATCAGTCCCAGTGTTAAGTGTTCTTTTGAAAGTAAAGTGAATCTCTTTGGCAAAAAATTGCATGTATTATGTAATTTCCATTAAATCAATGTAAAAAGGTCTATCGCCCAGCAAAATCTGTTATCATGACAGGCCTATGTATAACATTCTAAAGTATTTTTTGTTAAATTTGTACTTTTGAGAATTTTTTTTTTGAGCAGCATGTTAGTGAGAATGTTTAAGGGAAAGTAAAAATATTTATGAGTTAGTTGGGGTCCCCTCTCCCCCAACTCAGTAGTTTTGATTTATTCAAAGTTTTGTACATTTTTCTGACATAAAAAATAAGCTGATGGAGGGGAAAAGAAACATGAGGCAGTAAATTTACAAGCAGATGTTTGACGGACTGAAACTCATACAATCAATTATTTGATATGGTAACTTTATACACATAAAGTCACAATATTTCTTTTGGACTGGGTGCCTATCGCTGCTGATTCCGATAAGGCACCATAATCAATTGCAGAGGAACAGCAGATGACTAAACACATCCAAAACAGATCAGGTGGTAATGCAGTAAATTTTGACTCAAATGAAGGGGACCTCAGATTTTACAGACCTGTCACACAAGCAGTTTTTGTCCAGAATGTTAATAAATTGTGATACTCACAAACAAGAACTTGAATTCAGGAAAAATTACTAGTTTGGGAAATCTGAATACAATGATGCTTTCCTGATTCTGAATTTGCATCTTTTTATATCCTACATATTTTTGATTGGGTCCTCAAAGTTGGATCAGAGGTCAATAAAATTCTGTTCGGCCCTCAAATAAATGCAGGTCATTTTTTGGACATATTTAAAGAAAATTCTGGGCGTTATGCATAGAAATAAATGGAAAAACCTG